GTATGGTAGAAGATGTCATTCTCCTATCGGATGGTTTAAAGCTGGTGAGAATAACTTATTGGGACCCGACTTAGTACAAGAAGCTATGAACAAAGTCCAATTGATTCGACAGAAATTGCTTACAGCTCAAAGTAGACAAAAATCTTATGCGGATAAGAGAAGAAGAGGTTTAGTGTTTACAATTGGGGACAAAGTGTTCCTACGAGTCTCTCCTATGAAAGGTGTGATGCAGTTTGGGAAAAAAGGCAAGCTAAGCCCCAGGTTTATAGGACCATATGAGATACTAGACCGAGTGGGAGCGGTGGCTTATCGTTTGGCATTTCCTCTTGAGTTGTCCTTTATTCATCCAGTTTTTCATGTCTCAATGCTAAGGAAATGTATATCAGACTCATCTCAGGTGCTTGAAGAACCTGTTACATCGCTCGATGAGAACTTGTCTTACGAGGAGGAGCCAATGGCTATTGTTGATAGGCAAGTAGGAAGCTACGGTCAAAAGAATTATGTTCCTTAAAGCGTTATGGAGAAATAATCCAGTTGAAGAATCTTCGCGGGAAGTAGAAAAAGATATACAAGTGAAGTATCCTCATTTATTTCAGTCCACAGGTACGTACTTAAATTAAATTCGGGGACCGAATTTCATAAGGTGGGGAGAATGTAATACCCTATATATTAATAAGGGCATATAAGTCTTTAACTAAACTAAAAAAAAAAAAAGATAAATAATAGGACAATGGGCTAAAGCCCATAAGAATGAGAAACGAGAAAAGGGAAAAAGGGGGAAAAGTTGCTGCTAAGCAACAAAAGCTAAAAACAAAGAAAGAAAGAAAAAAATGGTGGAGGAGGAAACAAAGGAGAAGAAGAAGAAGAAGAAAAAGGTTAGAGCCAAACCTTGAGAATTTTTAAAAACGCACCGGTACTTACGGGTAATACTCGAATTTCTCATCTGGGTTCCGTTCTTCTGGTAATTATATTTTTTTTTATCTCGGTTCATATATTTGAAGGGTTTCACAAGGTACAAGAAATTAAATACCAATAAGAGTTATTCTGGGCAAGTTATGCAATTGGAAGTTGGTCAATGTAACTGTAGGATAAATTCACTTGGAAAAAGAAGGGTATTGATGTATTTGTACTTACACTAGTCTCATTATATATGATCATTGTTAGGTGCAAATCAAGTTAGGGTGCAAGGATTGAGTTTTGGTGTTTAACTGTATTGCAATGACAATATCGAATTTGGGTTTGAATGTTGTGAGTCTAGTATTGAGTACAAAAGATAAGTACCAATTAAGAAGGAATATTATGGACAGTAAGGTTATTTCAGTTTCAATTTATGCACACGATTAAGGAAATTGAACAGTATAGGGAATAAACCATATAAATACCTTTTTATTTAAAAGATTTTGGACTAATTTAAATTACTCATAGCATGGGTAAATATAATTCGGCGAATTGATGATAAAATATAAAACTCGGAGGATTGGGTATTCTAAATTAGTGATGGATTTAGCCTAAATGAGGCAATTAACACAAGATCGATATTGATGTGATTATAGATTGATTGAAGAAAGTCGTACAGATCGCTCGAGGCGACAAGTTTGGTACTTCGACACGAGTACTGTGAGTAGTAATCTTACCACAATTTGTGTTTTCATAACATGCATGATTTATATATGATTTTGAAAATAAATGTATTACCGATGCTTTGAAATTTGCATGTGGGACAAGTCCTTTACTTGATATGATACCGAACAGTTTACTTGAGATGTTTACCGATTAATCAAAATATTTTCACCGTTACTAGATATATTTTACCGTTACTTGAGATGTTGCAGTTATTTGAAGTATTCTCACTGTTACTAGACATGTTTTACTGTTAGTTGAGACATGATTACTGTTACCGAAATAAAATTACAAGATTTGATAAGGAATGATATACCCTTTATTATTTTAAAAATGCTTTTGTACGAGTATTTACTATTTACAATAAAGAGTATAAATGGGAGGAGACTTTGAAGGATCCCGTAGCTAACGGCGGGTTCGTTAGACCTGGTGCACCTTGTATATACAGATTACTGATTACCGATTACAGTTATAGCCCTCGCTAGTGGGAAGGCAGAACTAGCATACAGTTACAGTTTTCCCTCGAGTAGGGACCTACAGTTATACTTGACTCCTTTTACGAAGGGGTACACACAGTGATACAGATTACATGATCCTTTTCTGAAAACCTCCCAAATATAAAGATTTGCTATGACACAGTATTTACCAAGTTTATTACTGAATTTGTAAATTGATTTTGTTACAGGAAACACATGATGGGACTGATTATTATTACCGTTTTAAAAGGGGCATTTTATTTTGTGATTATTATACAAGCATGTTTTCTGACTTGTCCCCTATTAAAAACTGGTTGTGGTTAAATATTATTACTCACTGAGCTAGCGACTCACTCCCCGCTATTATTTTTACAGAGACAACAGTAGATGTAGGCAAGGATTCCGTTAATTAGAGTACACGAGTTGGCAGTTTCTGGTGAGCGCCGCATTTATTCGCGTGGGCAAAGATTATTGTTTATTCGTTATAGTCTCTTTCTTGAAACTCTTAGAGTCGCTCCATAGTCATTTTTATGAGTGTCCTAAGTATTATTTTGTTAATATAGACTTGTGATTCGTATTAGACTTTTCTATCGTATAATTGAAGATGAAGTTAGTATTATTGTGTTGGAAATATTTCGTGAATGGGGATTATAGCTTGTTTGGTCGATATAGGTTGGTTGTGTTGTTGATTTCTAAGACAGTTTTATTTTGGATAGTCCAAAAATAGGGGAAACTCTGTCTAATTTTCTGTAAAATACCGATGAGGCTTACTTGGGAGCACTAGCTCCCGAGCGCCGGTCACGATCCTAAATTGGGTCGTGACAAAGTTGGTATCAGAGCCCTAGGTTATTCTTGTGGCTAATGGAGCACACGCTGGTAGTAGAATCTCAATTATGGTTATATAGCCGGCCATTCCCATAATCGTGATTCTGCGAGGGCGTGATAGGATGTGTCTTGTCTTTCTTTCTTATTCTTCCGTGCATGTGTGGCGATTAGGGTCAAATAACTGAATCTGTCATCATCATTCTTTTCTTGTATTACTCAGATCAATCACCCCATAATAGAATTTGGTTAGAGGTCAAAGACATTAAATGTTGCCACTAGATAGGTAATCTTGTCCTAACAACAAAAAGTGACAGAAGTATTAGACAAGGCCAATGAAAGGCCCGTTTTTCCATAGTGAGAGTCTTACCCTAAGATGTGTAATAGAGTCTATTCTTGAATTAGTACGAGTCCACCACTATAGCACCTGGAGAGTGTCATTACAAAAAGGTACTTACCTCCATGAAATTTTGAGATCTTTATGGATATAATAGATAAACATGATAATAATGAGCAACAGAATAGGGACTCTAAAGTCCTCATGCACCTAGAAGATTATGGGACCAATAAAATATTCTTAATAAAGTTCCTAATGTTGAAACAACTAAGTTTAGTATTTCTGATAGTTCGAAGGACCTTAAAAGTTTTAGTAAAATACTTACCACGTTATAAGCTATAAGATATTTCATGAAGAGGTCTATGGTACAGATAACTTTTAGACTAGAGTAGACGGCGAATACATGAAATGCTACTGTACTCTTAGAGATGCCAACAAGAGCAACACAACTAATTTGGGAATAAATTTCACTAAAGTGTTTATGAATCACTTCCTTCTTGACAGTTTGTGACATGAACTTGCCTGCTAGATCGTTTAAGAAATTGATTTAGACGTCGGGTATACTTACATATAACACCAAACTTTCTCAGCTGGATATGC